CCCACCCGCGGCTGCGGCAAACGCGGGCCCGCCCTCCGGCCACGCCCCCCGGGGCCGCCAATCCCCAGGCTGGGGCGGGGCGCAATGCCTTAACCCCTTTGTAGCTGCGTCCAGGTTCGCGCTTGGGACCCCTCTATCTCGCCTTCTCCAAGGCTGCGTAAGTCGGTCCCCGAGCCCCTCTGCTCGTCTCCTGCCACCCCCAAGCCCCTTGGGCTCGGCCCCCAGGCTCTGATCTGTAACAAATGCGGTGGGACCGCGCCCTCCACCACATCTTTGGCGACTGGGAGGAGACCCTCGGGTTTGGGGAAGGGGTCCCAGATGCCGACCCCAGCCCCATTCCTCTCCCACTCCTGCTCTTCCGGACGCGGCCTCCAGCGGAGGGCTTGAGACTGCAAGTCTGCAAGGTGGGGGCAGGGCGAGTTGTCCCAGGTGGATCCGACGGCGCTGAGGGTATATCCAAGCGGCCCGCAGGCCGTCGTGTGGGAGGCTTCGAGGGGCAGCGACTACGTCCGGCAGCAAACGGAGCCCGTTTGAAACTTGCTGTTCGCAGAGGCGCACTGCCCGCGGGGGGGCGGGGGGGGGGGGGAAGGAGGGCGACGAGGAAAAAGATCTACATTACAATCGTGCAGGGTGCGAGTGCTTTCTCACTCGGTGTCCTGCACTAGGCACGAGGTCCGGCCCGACCCCCACGCCGCATTAGGGGGTGAGAGGGAGTGAGGTCAGGACTTCGTCCCTCACTCGAAGTATCAGCTTCGCACGCGCGCGCTGCGTTCTGCGCCGGGATTTGGCCCTGGAGGACTGCCGGGAGGAAGCCGGCTTGTACTGGAGGTCTTAGCCTCGAATACTGCGAATATGGTGGAGAAGCAAGCCAGGCCTAGGGTTCAGCATTAGTAAAAGCCTGGAGCTACAAAGGGTCTGTGCTAAAAACTGCAGCGCCTCCAGTCTAGTTGAATGTAACCCATTATATCTTTGCTGTTAGAGCTGATTAGTCATTAGACATCCTGTTTTATAGTATATATTACTTGCTATTTCTTGTTTTCTGTATTTTTCCATATTTGCTTTTATCTTCTATAGTGTTCTGCAATATAGAAATTCTGTTTTAAAGTCTCCTAGTGGTTGCCTTTGAGTTCATCAAGTAAAAATACAGTTTTTATTTCACAAATATTAAAATCAATGACAATCATTCATTTTTATATTCCTCTTTATGTAATGAAAAATTTAATGTGCCTTTCCATCTCTAGGCCTCTTGCCCTCACACCTACTTATATCTGTCCATTTAATCCAGGATGATAGACCCAGTCTTTTCTTTTTTTTTTTTTTTTCAAGCCACAAAATCCTCTTGGAAAAGAGGCTTTTGCCAACTCTTTGTTTAATTGGTATCAATGTCCTGCCAGTTTTTTATGCTCTAATTTTTCTATTTCTCATTCAGACTCATCTCTCATTTTACAGGTGATTTCAGGGAGGACCACTGAATGTTTTTTTCCTAAGCCTTTGCCCTAGGTGAGAATGCCTTTCTACTTACTGTCTTCACACACTAATGTAATGTTGTGGCTTGACTGTTTATGGAATCCTTGAGTCTCAAACTGTACCCCTCAAGGCTCTCTTGTTCTTATCCCATTGTCTTTGGGTCTCAAGATGGTAGCAAGTACACCTGAAACTAATATAATGTTAATATGTCAATTATATATCCTGCCGGGCGCCCCCCCCCCCAAAAAAAAAGGTAGGAAAGCTGGTCTGATGTGTGTTAGGTGAGCAATTTGCCTGGTGCTTGTTGGGATTTTCTTCATCCTTAAAAGTCAAATATTTTGCAAGTATAAGTATTAATTTTCCAGAAAAGAAGTGGTCTTTTCAGCTTAGAAAGGCTTTCTTCTAATGTTCCTGTCCATTTCTTGAACAGGGTTGCTTTGGGTTTTTTTCTTCTCCCCTAAAATTATCACATTGGATCACCACTGTCAATGAAATCTTTGTCCTTTTTCTCTGCGTCCTGGGAGAGTATCTCATGTTTCCTCCACATCACAGATTTAATTTTCTTGAGAGTCAAGGTCAAAGAAAACTCTTTTTCTCCAGTAAGATATTTAATTCTGCTTGTTTTATCGTCCTTTGATTTTAGCCAGTTTCCACCCTACCTGTGTATTGATCTCAGCCTTAATCTCTTTTTAGTTTCTGTTCCAAATCATAGAGAATGTAGTTTTGCATTTTAAGAAGAACAACAGGAAAACAAGGGAATACCATAGCTGACTCTGCTGTAATGCATATGAAAACCTTGATAAAGTGGACCATTTTCTGAGAAATAAAATTACAAAAATAAGAAAGATGTTGAAAACATTATCTAAGAAACATGTCCCAAAAAGGCTCTGGGCTCAGGTGGTTAAATGGAAGAATTCTCTCAAACTTTCAGCAAATAGATAGTCCTTACCCAGTAAATCTGCATTACACTCCAGAAAAGTTAGAAAGCAATTTCATTTTATGAAACCTACAATTATCCTTAATTCCTAATATAGCATAAAAAGGAAAACTGCAAACCAATCAATACTTATCAATTCATGGGGAAAAAATTCTTAACTACAACTCAAGGAAATACAATTAAATATTCTTGTATAGGATATTGATCCATGTTTGTTAAATGGGAAAACAATCATTATCAT